CCCTAAATTCCCACCCGGCCTGCTTAGGCCGTACCCACCCTTTTCTAGGGTGCCTGGACCCAGAAGATACCCGGCAGTGATGAACACCTTCACTGGATAAACAATGGGTGGAGCCATTGGAGAATGGTCGAATTCAGCCCCTTGGGCTGAGCCTTGCTTTAGGACCACTAAAGTGGTGCCTTATATTTACAAAGGGAACCCCATGATCCTCGTCTTGATGAGAACACCCTCAAGCCGAGGCCGGAATCCTTCGGTGGTCCTTTCCCTGAAAGGTACCCAGAGCCCAAAAACCCCCCCCCCCCCCCCCCCCCTGCGCCCCGCCCCCCCCCCCCCCCTGCCCCCCCCCCCCCCCCCCCCCCCCTGCCACCCCCCCCCCCCCACCACTTGGTTTCGCCTCCCCCCCCCCTCCCTTGGTTTCATCGATTTGAATCGTTCTCACCCCCCCACACCCCCTGAATGTGTAGTGTGTAGGGGCGCCATTTACACATGGTACTTACTGCCGCTGCGCGGCGAGACGCCCTAAACCCGTAAACCCTAAACCCTAAACCCTAAAACCCTTAAACCCTTAAACCCTTAAACCCTTAAAACCTTAAACCCTTAAACCCTTAAACCCTTAAACCCGAAAACCCTAAAACCCTAAAACCCTAAAACCCTAAAACCCTAAAACCCTAAAACCCTAAAACCCTAAAACCCTAAAACCCTAAAACCCTTAAACCCTTAAACCCTTAAACCCTTAAACCCTTAAACCCTTAAACCCTAAAACCCTTAAACCCTTAAACCCTTAAACCCTTAAACCCTTAAACCCTTAAACCCTTAAACCCTTAAACCCGTAAACCCCTAAACCCTAAACCCCTAAACCCTTAAACCCTTAAACCCTTAAAACCTTAAAACCTTAAACCCTAAAACCCTAAAACCCTAAAACCCTCAAACCCTCAAACCCTCAAACCCTCAAACCCTCAAACCCTCAAACCCTCAAACCCTCAAACCTTAAAACCCTAAAACCCTAAAACCCTAAAACCCTAGAACCCTAGAACCCTAAAACCCTAAAACCCTAAAACCCTAAAACCCTAAACCCCTAAACCCCTAAACCCCTAAACCCCTAAACCCCTGAACCCCTAAAACCCTAAAACCCTAAAACCCTAAAACCCTAAAACCCTAAAACCCTAAAACCCTAAACCCTAAACCCTAAACCCTAAGGGGGAAGCCAAGAGGTTCCCGACCAGCAAGCCAGAAAAAAAAAACAAAAAACACTGAAAAACAAAAACTACGGAAAAAAATCCCAGCCCGAGTTTGGGGTTTAGGGTGTGAAACCATAGTTTCAACTGAAGTGTGAAGGGGACAGGTATGTAGACCCCTCCTTCAGGCCCCAAAAAGCCTTTGATGTTTGTGCTGCAGGCTCTTGTCCGAACGTTCTTTTAGAATCCCTACCTAAGAACCAGAAACCCTACTTTTTTTGGAGGTTACCTAAGAATCCTATAAGGGGTTTCTTTAATGAGAGCCTAAAAGAAAAAACGTGTAGCTGTAGGCCTAAACCCTAAAGCCCAAACCCCAAACCCTAAACCCTAAACCCCTGGTTCTTAAGGCACACTCCCCAGACCCTAAACCCATCAGACGAGGCGATGTCCGCCTTGGCCGGCATCCGCTTGCAACATGGAGGCCGGGGCCGAGGGTTGAGGGTTGAGGGTTTAGCCCGAGATGTTTAAATAAATATAAATAACTAAATATATATATATATACACATGTATACATGTATATGAAGATACATATATATATATCTATATACATATACATACATACCTATGTATATGAAAGAGGGGTTTAGGGGTTGGGGTTTAGGGTTCTGGGTTGGGATGTTCCCCCTTATGCTAACAGTTCTTAGTAGGGATTATAGCAGGGGGTACTAGGATAGAACCCTGAACCGGCTAGCCCTAAACCCTAAACCCTAAGCGCCCTAAACCCTGAACCCTAAACCCGAAACCCGAAACCCGAAACCCGAAGCCCTAAGCGCTAAGCCCTAAAGCCTGAAGCCTGAACCCTAAACCCTAAACCCGCAACCCCGAACCCTAAACCCTAGCCCTAAACCCTAAACCCCCAGAAAACCCAAGGCAAGAAGGTCAGCAAGTTAATTCGGGCCATCCTTTGGTGCCCTTGGTGGTGGTTTGCGTGTTTCGGGTTTAGGGCTCAGGGGTAGGGTGTAGGGCTTGGGGTTGTGCCCTAGACCCTACCCCCCCCCTGAATCCTGACCTTCAAACTGCAAGGCTCTTGGGGAAGAAGACAGGCTTTGCAATCTTACGCTTTTTGCTTTATGACGCGGGCTTGATGCTCTAGGGTTCAGGGTTCAGGGTTTAGGGTGCAGTTAGGATTTAGGGTTTAAGGTTTGTCTGGTTTAGGGCTCCCATGAGCATACTGCGACAGACGAGGCGCAATCGATGCCAATGTCCTGCTCTGCCGGGTTCCGGGCACACGGGAATTAAACGGGGGCAAATGCCCTGCCAGCCCTCGAAAAATCAAGCCCCACAAACGTGCTCAAACCCATAACGCACTAAAGCCTCTAAAGCACCTAAGGCCCCTAAAAGCCCCGAAAGCCCCTGAAGCCACCAAACCTCCTACAGCCTACCAGAGCCCCTACAAGACCTTAGAAACGCTACACTAGACCCACCTCTACCCCCAACGCGGCGTGACTTTCTGAGCCCTGAGCCAGCCAGCAGTCTTAGGTATATCTGTATTCAGGGGAACATCCCAACTTCTGGGTCTAGCTAGGAGGGTTTAGTGTTTAGTTTTTCTTGGTTTTTGCTTTCCTTGTTTTGGGCATAGGTCTTTTTCTTATGTTTACTTCCGAGGGCTGGAAGGTTTCAGGGTAGCCGTGAACGGCTTTCAGTACCCTGACTTGAGTTAGTTGGACGTACACTGAATCTACTTCGAACCCCACTTATCAGCACCCTAAACCTTCTAAACCCTAAAACCCACTTCTAGGTACCCTAAACCGTTAGCCCTAAATCCTTGAGTTGTATATAGTCCCACTTATAGGTACCCTAAACCCTAAACCCTAAACCCTCCAGTACAGAGGCCTTCAGCTCAATCCTCCGGAGGTCCCTTTGGGGCCGCGGTGGTCCGGGATGGTGTGATCATCTCCTGCGCGCACAACATGGTGCTCCACAGGCTCGGGGGGTGGGGGGTGTTCCGCGGTCTAGGGTTTTAGGGTTTAGGGTTTAGAGTTTAGGGTTTAGGGTTTGGGGTTTAGGGTTGTGGCAAGTCTTGTGGGCGTTTGGGATGTCCGACTGGTGCTTAGCATAAGCTGCACGCGGCAGTGGAACCCGCTGCCTTCTTTAGTCCCACAAAAGGAACCCTCCGTTCCGAATTCCGACATGCCCTCGGGCGCCCAGTAGCACCTTTACTCTCTAAACCCTAAACCCTAAACCCTAAACCCTAAACCCTAAACCCTAAATGGTGGGGGGCAGGCAGGATCCCTGCTGCCACGCAGAGATGAATGCCATCCAGCAAGCCTGCCAAGCCGGGATCCCGAGCTGTCAACGGAGAACGGAGGGTTTAGGGTTTAGGGTTTAGGGTTTGGGGTTTGGGGTTTGGGGTTTGGGGTTTGGGGTTTAGGGTTTGGGGTTTAGGGTTTAGGGTTTAGGGTTTAGGGCGCGACCTGTTTGTTTGCTGTGTTGGGCCTTGTAGGAGCTGGGGGTGGGGGTGGGGGTGTGGGGAGTGGGGGAGCGTAATACATGTTTTTTGCATAATGGGATCTTGCTAGGCTTCAGCTTCTTCGAGGCTTGGTGGCTTAGAGTGTCGGGATCAGTGCGGGTTTGTGGGGGGGTTTAGAGCTCAGGTTTGTGGATCAGTGTTTGGGGGGTTTATGGTGAGCAGTTTAGGGGTTCAGAGAGAAGAGAAATTTGCTGCCTCCTGGGATCCTCGACCGACACTGCTTAGGGTTTAGGTTTAGGGTTCGCTGTGCGTTACAGAACCTAGGAACCGCCTGTAGCCTGAACGCCGAACCCAGCCCTCTTCTCGCCGATTCACTCGCGGAGACACCCCCCCCCCTCGTAGAAACCTTAAATAATACAAACTATTATCCGATTTTGCCCCGCGTATTTGCACTGCAAGTTTTGAGCCTATACTAAACCCTGAACCCCAAAACCCTTCGCCCAAACCCGAAACCCTTTTTTTTGCACTTGAGGCCCTGGGCTCGCACGACCTTTCCGACTGCGAGCTGTTTACCACCTGCCACCTGCCTCTGTGGAGGGGACGGACATAGCAGGTTGAGGGTTGAGGGGGCGTGGGGCGTAGGACATTTTTTTGGATAGGGGTTCAGGGGCTAGGGTGTTCGAGGCATTTGTTCATGTTTCTGGGTTGAGGGGCTTACACTGGCATCCCCACACACCTCGAACCACCTTCACAATCTCGAGGCCCCATGGCCAATCGTAGCTTTCCCTGCAATTCTCAACCCTATACACCCCAGAAGCATCAACGTCCGAGGTGAACCCTGCCCTATGTGCTGGGGCGCCGTTCAGTGGTCCAGGCCAGATCACAGTTCGATAACGAAAAGTTTGGGCTTAAGGCTATGGGCGTCATTTGTTCATGGGCCAGGTTTAGGATTGCGCTTTGCAAGCTGAATTCCTTTAAGATGCTACGCGTCGGATCGAGGATTCCGACATTGTAGTACAAACATGTACCCTGAACCCTAAACACTAAACCCTCAACCCTAAACCCTAAGGCCTAAACCGCCATTTGTCTTGGGCTTGCCATCCATGAGATCCTGCGTCAGGGAACTTGACACATCATCCAGGTCAATCTTGAAAAATCATCTGAAAGAAGTGGAGCCATTTATATTGGGCGAGGTGCGCTGCAAGATAAATGAAAACCATTGTTTTAAGAGCCTGGCCAATATGTTTTATGCCGGTATCCAGTGCATTCCATCGCCCGACATGAAGATGTTCGGGTTTATAGGGTTTGGGGTCTTGGGTGTCTTAGGCTTAGGAGTTCAGGGCCAACATTTTCTTATGAAGGCCTCGGAGTTCGTGGTGGAAGGTCACATGTTCTTGTGGTCCACCCCCGCCACCCCGAAATTAAATCTCTATACCGTACCCCTAAACCCCTCAACCGCCTGCACCGCTAAACCCCCAAACCCCCACCCCAAACCCCCACAATGTGCCAAACCCGGCCCTGCCAAAGATCGAATAGGGGTTTACGAAAATAGGGGGACCTCCAATATTCCCACATAGTAGGATTCGCTGAAACTAAGGACCCCAACAAGGCACTCCCGAATTTCGGAACCCCCCCCCAAATTGTGCTAATCCTTGAACCCTAAACCCTAAACCCTAAATCCTAAACCCTAAACCCTAAACCCTAAACCCTTTGTCTTTGTGAGGCTCGGCAGAGCCTACATCGGCGTTGATCGCCATACGGCTGCAAAGTACGGCTTTGATGACAAGGCCTGGCACGGCTTTGCTTAGGATTTAGGGTTTGGGGTTTAGGGTTGAGAGTTTAGGGTTTAGGGCGTTTATAGGGTTTAGGGTATAGGATTTACTTATCGGATTTATTGGGTGATAGGGTTCGTGGCATATAGAATATAGGGCCCAGGTTTTTGTTCCCCACTCCCCCTCACAGCCAAAAAGCCTCCAACACCACTGCAGCACCACTTCGGGGGAGCCTGTGTTCTTTCCCTTGGCGTGTAACCTCGAGGGTCCATGTACCTTATTGTTATATACTTGGGGTACTGCAAGGCCCAAGTATACCCTATTTAGGTACATATGGACCCTTAGGGTAAGGTCAAACAAAGAGCCCATTGTGGCTCTAGGATGGCGAAGCAGTATTGCCCTGTTTGAGTCCTACATCCTGGCACAGGTGTTCTACGATGAGATCGATTCCAAAGCAGGGCACTACGGCATCAGGAGGACCGCCACGCCGTTCCCCCCACTGCTAAGAGCTTTCGGCCTTGGGATCGGGTTTGGGACCCCTGTCGCGGGATCGGGTTTGGGAGTTTAGGGTTTTGGGTTTTGGGTTTTGGGTTAGGGTCTCAGGGTTAGCGTTTGGGGACCTAAACCGCAAGCCGGAACCTGCTTCTCATGCTCGTTCATGCTGCAGCACGGCGGGGCGCTTCACTTTTCAATCTCCTTCGACACCAGCGTTTTTGGTTTGGGAGTTTGGTGGGTTTATAGGGTTTAGGGCCGCTGTTGCTGGCATTTCAGATACACCGAAGTCCATGGCATGTTTGATAATAGGATTCGGCAGACGGATAGCACTTACATGCCCGCCCCTAATCCGGAGGCTCTGGGCAAGGACCTCGCTGGAAGGCGTAAGACGTGTAATATCGGAATCACAACACAAGGCCGTGTCCACTAGCAGCTAACAAAATACCTGCCAGTGCACGCAACACTGCAAGTTCCATTACGAGATGGAAACGCGAAAAACAGACGGGATCACACACACACACACACACACACACAGGGAGCATTCAGGTTTTTTGGAAGCATGGAGTGGCCTGCTAGCCTACAACCTGTATAAGCTAAATCATCTGGCAGGACAGGCTACATTCCCAATACCTCTGAGGCCATCAATGTCCAGGCGAGTTTTGGGAGGGCTGGTGGTCATGATCAAAGTGCGCAGCTCCTCTGGCTGCGTCGTTTCGGGCTGGGGGTGTAGTTTTGACATTCTAACCCTAAACCCAAAACCCTAAACCCTAAACCCTATATATAGTCTGTAGATCCAGCGGCTCGAGTCGAGCAACACTAAATGGAGTTCAAGCTGCTCTGTCGGGCGACTCACCGGAGATCACACCCCTTCAGCTCGAAGCCTCAGACAGTGCCTTGCCAGCCTTGCCCATAAGCCCCCATGGAGTGGATGGTGCAAAATGCACGCTTGTGGTTGGTGTGCTGGGCTTGCAAAGGCCTTGAGAGGCGAGAGACTGAAGGGTAGAATAGCCATCAGAAAAGCCCGGTTTGCACATCCACCATGATCGCGAGTTCATGTCAGCGGTTGCGCACTGGGGAACCCTAAACCCTAAACCCTAAACCCTGGGTCTTCTTCACAGGGTGAGCGCGTGTTCAAGAACATGGTCGACGTGTATGACGGTATCCTGAAGGAGGACAAGGGAGCTTGTCTTGAGCTACTGGATTACTTTACAGAAGCGTTAAATATGAGCTGCCATGATACGGAAACCCTAGTACCATAAACCCTGAACCCGTGTGTTTGGGTTCTGGTTTGTTCCTTAACGGCAACCCCGTCCGGGGCTTGAGTTTTGAGTGTGTTGGGGCGATGTTTGGGCTGCTAGGCCTCTGTTAGCTTCCCCTGAATCGCCCTCTTGCAAGCCCTGAACCCCAACACTTCTGTGCTTAAGCACCTAGCCGCCAGAAGAAGGGCAATTAGGCCCTAGAATTCCCCCAGAATAAAGGCCTTTTCAAGGGGTTATAGGGTATAATACGGTATAATAGCCCGTCCTGGCCAGAAGAAGGACGTGGAGAAATTCTTCAATTGTATTTTTAGATGCACCTAAACCCTAAACCCTAAACCCTAAACCCTAAACCCTAAACCCTAAACCCTAAACCCTAAACCCTAAACCCTAAACCCTAACACCAATCGCAGCAGGACGTGGAGAAATTCTTCAAGGACGTCACCGTCAACCGCACCATGCGGCGCCGCTTCACTGGCAAGGGTGGGGACCAGGTGCAGCCGCTGGGACCGAAGTCGTTAGGGTTTAGGGTTTAGGGTTTAGGGTTTAGGGTTTAGGGTTGAGGGTTTAGGGTTTAGGGTTTAGGGTTTAGGGTTTAGGGTTTAGGGTTTAGGGTTTAGGGTTTAGGGTTTAGGGTTTATGGCATCGGAAGTTGAAAAAGGCAGAAGGGCCGGAGAGTTTGAACAGTGGCTGTGGGCTTGAAGGAGTTTTGCAGGTTACTTGGCTTCTGGTTGGTATTTTCCGAGATACGTAGCCTACAAAGTTGAATCATATGCAATCTCCTCACGCGAACCCGCGTAAATTTCGCACGTCACCGGTCAACCTGGATGAAACTCTACACCCCAAACCCCGCTATAAACCCTACTAAACTCTACAAGCCCTATAGTCCCTTGGCCGTACCCTGGAGCATCTTCAGGAGTGCCTACAAGCTGGTTTTCGATCGTGAAGCACAGTTACGGCCGCCCCCCTCCGGGCCAGAAGACACCAGCAAGGAGGCCTTTGGGGGTGGGGGGGGGGGGGGCGGAGGGGGGTGGGGGGTGGGGGGTGGGGGGTGGGGGGTGGGGGGTGGGGGGGGGGGGTGGGGGGTGGGGGGGTGTGGGGGTGGGGGGGGGGTGGTGGGGGGGGGGGGGGGGGGTGGGGGGTGGGGGTGGGGGGGGGGGGTGGGGGGGGGGGGTGAAAGTTGAGAGGATGCCGCCGTAAATGGCCGTAAATGTCCCAAAACCTTAAACTTAAACCCGAAACTCCATAATGTAGAGCCCCAAACCCTAAGCTCCGCACACCACAAACACTGAACCAACCCGAGTGTCGGCGGATGTATTTCGGACCGTGAATGTGGCTGTTCGATGCGATTGTGCATGATGGTGTTGTTCACTTAGGTTTACCACCGAATCATCGCAACGGTACCACGTTGCTTTTTGCATGCGGTAGCATACCTCCACACTGCTCCATACACATTTCACAAACACCTAGGCCTAGCCCCACTACTCGATTCCACGTCCTGACCGCATGGGTGACGTAATTTTGCCCACTAGACTCAGCCAACGCTGCCATACAAGTGTGCGGCCTTGCCTATCTCCACGAATTCAGCTTCAAACTGTTTCAACCATTTCTCTCCACTAGCATTCGCTCTGCTGCCTTTTTGTCGATCTTGGCCAAATGTTCTGTCAAGTCCACCTGCCACTGCCATGACCTCTGACAAAGTCCACGCCCCAGCACGTGAAGGCAGATGAAGAAGGGCGTATCCCTTCATGATTCGGGCGACTGTCGCCTGCCGAAGCCCACACCAGCAGTAAATTTTTCCCTCGCGTCCCGCCCCCCCTCTCCCCCACCATTCGGGCGGGCAGGTGGGCGGCGGGCGGAGGACGCGGAGGGCAGCCCAAAACAAGAACGTCACATATGTGGGGACTGGGGAACAAACTGAGGGTCCCCTAAACCCTAAACCCTAAACCCTAAACCCTAAACCCACTTTCGACCCTTCTGCCAGGATCACGAGAAGTACATGAGACTGGCGGCTCGGCTGGACGGGTGTATCTCCCTGGTTCTTAGTAGGGAATGCGGGAACTCGGGACCCTACATAATCCCTTAAGACGGGTATGTGGTAGGGGGATATAGGGTACCTCCTTCCCGTCCTTCCCTCACTCCCTACAAAGAACCAGAAAGATTATAGATTCACAGGGGTGTATCGAGTTAAGGATGTCAATCTATCCCACGCTTCCACATGAACACCCTCTTCCCTCGAACCATTGTGCCCACCCCTGTACTCCATGGATTCAAGTTGAATCTGCACGCCATCCTTTCAATGTCCCTGAAACCCTAAACCCTAAGCCTTCTGCACTTCTTATGACTGACCCATTGAACCCACCAGGGGCCGGAGTCCCGAAACAGAGGCTGTGATGGGGCAAGCGCATGATCCCATTTTTGGGTACCCTAGGTATTCCGGGCCGCCTCATATCCCCAAAAGGAGACCAGAGTGTAGAGAAGTGCTCATATACTAGCAAGATGACCCCTATGGGTCCAGCAGTAAACTCTCTGCTTGCAGCTTCGTGCAGCCCGAGCAGTGGGAATAACACCCAGAAAACAAGACTTGTGTCGGCTGTTCAGCGAAAACCCACTCCTAAACCCTAAACCCTAAAACCCTAAACCCTAAACCCTAAAACCTAAACCCTAAACCCTAAAACCCTAAAACCCTAAAAACCCTAAAACCCTAGTCCTTGAACCCAAGCCCCAAAAGAACAGAAGCGCATGCCCCGAAAGCGGGAAGGGGCTTCAGTATCTTCAGCAAACCCAGAATCATTTGAATAGGGTCTTTTTGGGGGTCGTATTATAGTTTAATTACAAAGGGACCATAGGGGAAGACTATTAGTACTTATTCCGGCCCCTATAAAGCGTTTCAACTCAAAGGCTACCAGGGTCTGTTCCGAGCTATTTTTGCAACAAATCCCCATTGAGAACTCTTCGCCCATGACTAACGCGCACACCTTATATCTGGGGACCTAAAAAAGTAGAAGGTCCCCCATTTCCTTAAACTCTACACCCTTAAACTCTCAGCCCCCTAAACCCCCTAAACCCCCCAAACCCCCTAAACCCGCCTAAAACCCCTAAAACCCCCTAAACCCCCTAAACCCCCTAAACTCCCTAAACCCCCTAAACCCCCCTAAACCCCCTAAACTCTAAGACTTGTTCCTTGAGCCAAGGCCATGGCCGTGGCCGCACGCGGTGGTAAGGCTGGCTTGGCCAAGGACCCCCTGGTTCTTAGTAGGGTTTAGGGTTTAGGGTTTAGGGTTTAGGGTTTAGGGTTTAGGGTTTAGGGTTTAGGGTTCTTAGTCGGGAATGAGGGAATTGGGGCCCTATAGGGTGCTCATTCCCTCATGCCCTGCTAAGAACCAGCCAGAGGACCGGCTTTTGAGGGACCTTTTTCGAGGTTTCCTGATTTCTTATTGTTTTTAGTAAGCTGCTTTTGTGTGTTGTTTTCTTCTTATTGTTGCTGTTATATGATTGCATTGTTGCTTTTGTTGTTTTTTTGTCTGATTATGGTTTTGGTTTGTTTGGCTCCTTGTTTTCGGCTGCCTGTTTTGCAACCAGTATATTGCTATTAGTTGTCTTTTCGAGTATTTCTATCAGTGTTACTTTATTACAATATGTTTCGTTAACGTCCTCAATCTTAATATTATCGGTGGTAATTGTCATTGTTCTCAGTCCTCTGTTTATCATTGCACATTCGCAAATCATTGTTGTCATGATTATAATTATTACTCTGATTATTGTTAGGATCTCATTCATTTTTATGGTCATTTTCGATGATGATGAGGATGAGGATGATGGAGATGATGATGATGATGATGATGATGATGACGATCTTACTCTGTGCATTCTGTGCTACTTGAAGGAAACAGCCTCGCTCATGGCTGATGTTCTCCTCCAGGAGGCACAATCCATTAGCAATGAAGTAGTGGTGTCAGCTGCAATCTCGTGTCCCATGTGTGAAGCAACATTCGTGAGTGAGAACGCCATGAGGATCCATAGTAAGCTTAAACATAAGACCCTCCCTGCCCACTCCACTCGAACCCCTACCATCTTTGTCCCACATCTTCATGCCGTGGCGGGCATGCCGCAGTGTAAGTTGTGTGATAGGCAATTCTTCAAATGGCGGCACCTCAAGCTCCATATCGAAGGCGGCGCTTGTCCCAAACTGGGAGGTGACAGTTTCATTCGATCCCCCTTAGACTCCACCCAGGCCTTGGCCAAAGTGGCTGCCCCGCCGGCAGCCGACTTGCCGCAGTTTGCAGGGCAAAATGTGACTGACCTGCCGCTTGTCCTTCGTGAAGCCTTCCTTAGTAAGCTGTCGCAGTGGGAATGTTGGCTGTCGGTTCCGTCCTTGATGACTGAACTGCGGAACTACTGCTCACTCTGTCACCAATGGGTGGCGGACTTCCGGCATGTCAAGCAGCACATAAGGAAGGAGCATCAGACCACGCATGGACATCTGTTCAATGAGGTCAACACCATATGCAAAACTTTTAAGTCGCATCTAACTAGGGATCGGACGTGCATTTTCTGTGGCCACCGCGTTGGTGCACCAGGACGGCACATCGAACAATGCACGCCGCTTTTTCAGTTAGTACTAGCTGTTGTGACTTGTCGCCGGCAGCAGGATGTTCGAGGACATGATGGAGGGGGCGGGGGAGCTCGAGGCGAGCATCTTCGCGCACTGTTTCGACGAGGGAGCCATGCAAAGGTACATGCCGGCCAGGGCGCCCAAGCGGGCTCGCCCGGAACAGCAGTTTCGGGGGATGGGTGCAGGAAATCGCTTCGCTCCTGTGAACATGTATGGAGCGCCCCCGCAGCAGCAGCAGGCGCAGGACCCGCTTCGTCTCATGTGCCGCGTCATCCTGCAACAGGAGGAGACCATAGCGCACCTTCGGCACGAGAAGTGCTTTGTCATGTTCATGAAACACGAGCAGGAAGGGATCCTCAAACCGCTAATGATGGTGGCGAAAGAGTGGAACGAGAAACGAAGCCAGACGCCGGAGAAGCTCACCTCTCCACTCCGTACCCTGCTCTTGCAGTCAATGTTGCAGGAACTCTTGCAAAGAGTGCAGAAGGAGGCGGCCACAGAAGATGGCCGAACAGCTCTCCAGAAAAAAGGCTGGCTGACCAAGGAAAACCATTGGCCGTATCTTGCTTGGGACTCCAAAACCAAGCAACTTGTGCTGAACCAGGCCCGGCAGCGTGTTCCTCACACGGAGATCGTTCGGTTGCTCACTTGGATGCTGAGAGAGATGAAGGGGGACATAATCCAGACCTTCAAGTCCCGCCCCAGCCTCCACAAGATGAACCTTCAGATTGCGCCGACCTCCACCTTCCACCTGGAGATTGCCTTGCGGGGTCAAACCTCGTTGGAGATGCACGAGGCCTTCATGAAGCTGACATCGAATGCCGTGACACAGCTGATAGGCACCGCTATCAAGCGGGACAGCCTGCCGCAGACGGCCCTTGCCAAGCAATTGGCGGACCTCACCTTCCGCCGTCGATGACAGGCCTCACCCCACCGGCGATTGCACAGGCTGCCGCATGTCATTTTCCACTGTCCAGTGTTGTTTTGCAGGGCGGTCGAAATCAGTGTTACCTCAACTCATTCCTGTATTGCTTCCTTCATGCAGCTCGCTGTGCGGATTGTTCACATGTGTTGCCACAGGTGTTCGGGAAACAAACAGGGAAGGCTCAATGGGCCTCGCGTCTGTTGGGGTTCGGGCTCTTGGGGTGGTCAGAACCTTATCAGCAGCATGATGTTGCAGAGCTTGGCGATTTCCTGCTTCCGAAGCTCACGCAAGCTGTCAGCCCAGGCCACTGGGAGTCGCGAAGCACTACTGACCAGGGTTTTGTTCGGCATGCTAGCACAAGTGCAGCGCAGTGCCTGAGACTAGGGTTGGATGAGCCACACAGCGCCGACGCTGTAGACATCCAGGTTTTGATAGCGGGCTGGCACCAAGGTGCGACCATACAGGCATTCGTTCGTGCCCCACCGATGCTCTGCATTCAGATTCCTAGATTCCTGTATCGTGCACCGGGCTGGGCAGAGAAGCGCAAACATCCCTACCTTCTCCCTAATCTTGTGCAAATACCTGAGTTTCTCACGGCTGATAACCTCTCCATCCGATGGCTCCCATACCAAGTTGTCGCTTGTGTGCAGCATCATGGTGCCCAGCCACATGAGGGGCACTACACAGCTGTGTTGCAACAGTGTGGCAAGCAGTGGCTCTACGATGACGAAAAAAGGCCTCGACTCCTTGAGACCCATGAGCTTGAGCATCTGAGCACAAACATATACCTTGTGTTTTTGGTGAGACAGCATCTCAATGCCGTCGCTCCGTTTGTAGCTGCTGAGCCTTCCATTTCACAAGCCGAACGCTGAGCGCCACGGGCAAGTCGCTGTTCTTGCTGAAGGCTCAGATTGATGCGGTTGCAAAGGAGATGGAAAACATTCAGCAAGTCGCAACGCGGCTGACAGATGACATGCGCATCATGCAAGATCGATGGATGGCCTTGCGGAAGTCGCTACCAAACCAGTGTACAGTGGTTGTCTGTGATGCAAACACGCCTTCTTGCACACGTTGAATGACTAAGTCATCGATGTAAGGGCAAACTTTACTTCCGGGATGAGAATATCTCGTCACGATACAATGCACCTCGGTGCTCTTTTAATGCTGGTGCTCCACAAGGGCACACGTGCCGCCATCTAGAATGGCCGACTGTCATAATCAGTTGATAGGCGCCCGCAGGACGATTGTGACACTTTCGCCGCGAGTGAAGAAGATCTTACTCTGTGTGCGCGCGAGCCCCCGAAACCGCCGAAATCCTAATCGGAAGACCTTTTGTCTTAGCAAGTCTACTTACCAACCTACAAACCCTACTTACTTACTCAATCAAAAGAGCTTCCAAATAACCAGAAGCCCTAAACCCTAAACCCTCTGATGCGCAAACCTAAACCCTAAACTACTTCGGACAGGAGCGCGAGTGCTTCGGCGCCATCATCGTCAAGGACGGCGTGGTGCGGGTCCCAGGATGGAGCCGTGCAGGGTTCCATAGGGTTTAGGGCTTAGGGTTCAAGGTTTAGGGTTTAGGGTTTAGGGTTTAAGGTTTAAGGTTTTGGGTTTAGGTGGCGGCAAGATCGACGCCTTTTCGCGCACAGCTGCCAGCACTAGTGGCGTCCCTTGCACAGGCTCTTAGGCTTTCCGTGCCTTGACCTCAGTTGTGTAGTCCCGGTTCCCTAAACCCCCTAAACCCTAATTAAACCCTGAATCCTAAACCCTAAACCCTAAACCCTGAACCCTGAACCGTAAACAAAGATAGTGTAGAAGATCATCCTCGCCCCAACAAAAATGAACTACGAAATTGGGCATCTCGGTAAGCCCTGAAGTCTGACTGTGTCTTTGACAGCCCAGAAACTCTGTGAACCCTATACACCCCATGATAAACGCCCTTAAACCCTATACCCTAAACCCTATACCCTTAAACCCTATACCCTAAACCCTATACCCTAAACCCCAAACCCCAAACCCTAAACCCTAAACCCTAATGTTTCTTTCCATGGTCTCGTATGTACCAGGTGATCTCGGAAGCCTGCAACTGCGTCGCTTGTATGCAAGGCGTCCAGGGCCAGCCCTTGAGAACGCTGCGGAGCTTTAGGGGGCTTCCAGGATTCTAGGGTTATCAGTTTTGAAGGCAGGGCTCAGGGTTTAGGGTTCAGGGTTCAGGGTTTAGGGTTTGGGGTTTCGGGTTCAGGGTTTCGAGTTTCGGGTTTTGAGTTGAGGGTTTTGGGTTTAATGTTTTAGGCTTAGGTTCGAGGCTTCGAGCTTTGGGAGGGCTGCCGAGTGCTTGGCCTTTCTCATGCTACTGCTCTGGATACTGCAACTAGATGTAGTCGTCCCTGTCTCGACATGAAGCCATCAAGCTGTGCACCGAACAACCTCTCCCTGGTGCCTTTTTGCTCTTTTTTGTGATTTTTAGGTTCCCTTATACAGTAACCAGCCTCCAAGATGGTACCCTTCTTGCAATATGGGGGTTGACGATATTGAGGGCCCCCTAATATGGACCCCTAAGTAGTAGGATCCCGTTATAGTCAGAACCCCAATAAGGTGGCCCTATTTTCCGAAACCCCCATGTTTCTGGCCTACCAGGTCTCAGTTTAGGGTTCAGGGGTTGCGGGTTTCGGTGTTTCGGGCCAACCTACTTAGAGGTTCATTGTACTTGTTAACCAATTATAACTGTACTTATAACCCACTTACAAGCCCCTTAAGTGCCCAAATATGGTTGTAAGTACAGTTATCAGTACAGCTATAGTTGGTTAGTAAGTACCATGAACCTCCAAGTATACCCAAAACCCTCAACCCTCAACCCTCAACCCTCAACCCTAAACTCTAAACCCTAAACCCTAAACCTAAACCCTAAACCCCAAACAACCCCAAACCCCAAACCCTAAGCTCGCTCAACCGGCTTGTAAGGTGCTGTCGGATCGTGATGCGACGGCCACTGCCGAGGTCTGCTTGGGATTTAGCGTTTGGGGCCGGGGGGGGGGGGGGGGTTAGAGCTTTTAGACAGGGTTTAGGGTTTTAGGGTTTAGGATTTAGGGTTTAGGGTTGAGGCATGAGGGTTGAGGGTTTAGGGCTTTAGGGTTTAGGGTGTAGAGTTTACATGCAATGGTCATCGAAAATCACTATGAATGGCAGAGGTTCTCGGAAAATGTTGTTGATAATGAGGATGGCATCGCTGCAGTCCAACGCAGTTGCAGCCGCAGGCAACTTTGCACCCACTTCAGCAACGTTGACAACGTGAGGGCGACATAAGCAAGTACAGCGCTCCGGTAACATGTTGCGCCCTGTTTTGTCTGGGCCCCTCTGTTAAGACAGGCTCGCCCCTCGCGAAGCTTGAAGCCCTCAGCCAGTGCTTCTTACTCCTTTCTCGCGTAGTCCCTTTGAAAACCATATAAGACCATTACAAGCTCATCCCTTTCAGAACCATACGAAATCCGGTGGCCCGGTGAAAGAGGGACAAAACCACCCTAGACCCTATAAGGCCTAGTATACTGCAGGGAGGGTGATGGGCCCAGAAGCTTCTGGGGAAGGTGAAAGCCATCCGTGCTGCGACGGAACGGCTGGGCACGTCCTTGGCTGCTGTTTAGGGGTTCTGATTCAGGGTTTAGGGTTTAGGGTTCAGGGTTTAGGGTTTAGGGTTTAGGGTTTAGGTGCGGTTTAGAGCATGAGGTCCTTCAAAGCCCTTGGGGATTTCAGGGTTTGAGAGCTTGGAGCTTAGGGGGATTTGAGACTGTGGGCTCGCAGCCACAATCCTGAGAACTTGGGGTTTATTGATTTGAAGGCTTCAGGTGTTAAGGGCCAAAGAAGCCCTCGATAGGATTTAGGGCTGTCTCGGCTTTTGTTTTCAAAGGTCTTGTGGGCCTGCTCAAGGGCCTTAAGGGTCTGATTCGGGTTGCAGGTTTGAGGGTTTAGGGTGTTAGGTTTTGCTTGGGGCTTTAGGCAATAGGGCTTCACGGTATAGGGCTTAGGGCATAGGCATAAGGCATAGGCAATAGGGTTTGTACGGGTTTTGAGTATTGGGGTGGGTACCATGGGAGGGTGCTGACACACAACACGGCACCACATATGCCTGAATCCTTAAGTTGCAGCAGATATTCCGAGCCTCCCATCGTAATCCATTTTTTGAGGCTCTGCTCCCTGACAAGCCCCCTTTCAAGCAGAACAGGGCACCCTTCCTAGGTTACCCGAAGGGTCTCGATATGGTTCACCAAGGTACAACCTCGAGGGCTGCGTCATGTACACCACAGCCCACCCGGACCTGATGTCTCTAGGCAGCGGGGGGGAGCGGGGGGGGGGGGGGGGGGGGGGGGGGGGGGCGGGGGGGAGCGGGGGGGGGGGGGGGGGGGGGGGGAGGGGGGGGCCTTGGACGCTTAACGTCTATTCTGCGCGTGCTCTTTGTTTCCTTGGATTTTTCCTGAAAACCAATTCTGAAATTGGGTTCTCGTTTGGCGCTTTAATGCGGAAGGCGTTCTAGGAGGGGCGGACGGAATGACTTTTGACGGGAGGCCGCGGACCGCGGAGACGACACAGTCAAGGGAGGGGGTTCGGAGCATCTTGCTGGAGAGGGGTGTGGGGAGGCGTGGACCATGCATGGAGGTTGACGGACGGGTGACGGGTTCGGCGCTGAAGGGGAGAGTGACATTCGGTTGATGGGCAGGGGATATGGGGACACGTGGATGCGCCCCGCGTGCTCCGCGCGCTCCGCGCCCTCCGCGCGCTCCGCGCGCCCTCCGCGCCCTCCGCGCGCTCCGCGCACCTCCGCGCGCGCGCTCCGCTCCGCGCCAGCGAGGGGGGAGGGGGGGGGGGGGGGGGAGGGGGGAGGGGGGGGAGGGGGGAGGGGGGGGGGGGGCGGTGTGGGGGGGTCTTTTATCAAAAAAGTCAGGTACATGTGAATATCCTGGTACATCGGTACCTAGGGGTGCCCTACAAGCCTCAAGTTGCCC